CTCCAACTTTTAAACTTCTCACAAACTCAGCAAGCTATATACTTTATCGTTGTTAACAGAATATTTTTGCTACAACAATACTTACGCGTAAACAGTGAAAGAGAAACCTTGTTGTTTGACTGTTTGACTGTCAATGAAAAAATAAAGTTTTTTACTCACTGTTTTCTTTTACATTTCTTCCCCGCTGCTTCGCTGTTGTGGGTGTGAGTGTGTCTGGGTGTGGGGGTGTGAAGTCGGTGTGGGTGGGCTTCGGTCTGCGTGTGGGTGTGGGTGTGAGTGTAACTAGATACCAGATATTGATACCCACACGCACACCCTCAATTAAATAATGAAAAATATTTCCATATTCATGAGAGTGGGTGGGGTGTGGGTGTGGGTGTAGGAGCAGATGTCATTTCAACTAATCAAATCACATCCACGCTTAAACACACACCCATACCACGCATCCACACCCACACCCCACCCACACCCACACCCACCCACACCCACACCCACGCCCACCCAGCCACCCACGCCCACCCACACCCACACCCCCACCCGCACCCACACCCATACCCGCACCCACGCTCACACCCACCCACACTTGAAAATCGTCTTTTGTAGCTCAGAAGTGGTTGTATATCATTTAGAAAATCATCTTTAACGAAATAAACCACTTTTTGAAAGAACAACTTTATTGCCAAAAAACACCTGTGGGGGACCTTAGCCAAAGTTTTCGAAAATATTATTTTGTTAGAAAATATTTTCTGTCGTACATCAATCGACGCAGTTGTACGCGCTGATTCGGAATATCTCCTTGATTTTTCGCTAAGATGCTATTTTAAGGGCAAAAAAGGAACATTAGGTCACAATCATGACTTTTTGAACATCCATTGTCCAGTCTACCGGCACTGATGTGATACGGCACACATAGCCGACGATAAACTAACATAGAGGTTTACAATTAATAAGAACTTGAGCTCAATCAGACAAAAACTGTTTATAGCGTTCGAAAAATACGGTATGACTCATTTTTTTAAACCCTTCTCTTCATAAAGGTCAAGAATTTTTTTTCAAAAAAAACACTTTTTATTATATATCATTAGATGCAACTCGATGAACTGATTCCGAATACCACTTTGGTTTTGCATCAAAACGATGTCTTAATGTGACAAACAGGGATTTAGGGCCAAAAATCTAGGTTTTTGGGAAACTCGTAGCACCGGCTATGCCCATCGGCGTGAGGTGATGCTATGGTGTACGATGTATCAGACATGAAAGAACAATCAGCAAAAGTTTGAGGTCAATAGGACTTAAATTCTTTGTAGCGTTCACAAAATACGACATGGCCGTTTTTTTCGACCCACATTGGGCCCAATAATCATTTCTTTTCTATTGAAAATCTGATTCAAACCAAACCAATTTTTGATACAGTAAAGCTCATGGATCAACAATTCATTCTGCATAGTTTTTCCCTTCAAACTACTTTGATAAGTTGATCAAAAGAGTGGCTTCCGTAAAATTACCGATTTATGACCAATTTTTTTGTCGATGAGTTTTTCCAGGGTTCGACTTGTTTTTTGGAAATTTGGTTTTAAGGTAAGATAGACTAACCATAGATGTATTCATTCCAATATTTAAATTTTGGAAAATGAAACTTGAGGTCATGTCCGCCTGGTTGCCCACTGTGTGCGTACGGATGGAGAGCACATCCTCGTCCATCGTGCTGCATATGTTGTTGGCTGCTTCCGTTGCTTTTTGACCCAGACGGAATTCATGAAGTAAAAGCACTCGAATTTTACTACGAGAAAGATTCATTTTCAGTCCATGATCAACGTCCAATCGATGGCTTTATTATCATCCGAATGATATTCATACTCCTTTTATATACCTTTAGCATGAAAACTTCTAGAACTTTCTCGAATGTGTTAGAAAATTTACAAAAAAAGCAAGAAGTTTGTTGACAACCTAATATCGAAATAAATATATCTACTGGAATTATTGACATAATAGATATTGCTCATTTATCAAATGTTCAAGTTTCATTAACCAGTGTTAGACTATGGAATATATTCCTCGGCAATAAAAAAGTGTAGTAGAGATAAGAATGATGAAGACGATTTCATTTTTATGAATTTGATATTTTTCTCTGCAATCATCTTTAATGATAGAAGATCAGTAAAATCATCAAGTTAAATTTTTGATGGAAATATTTTAATTTCAATGCATGTAACTTGATAGTTTTGATATATAAATTGAGTTTTTCATTTGTGCATTTAATAATAATTTAATCTAGAATTTGAGAGCTGTCCAAGGATTGAGAAAAACGAATTCGTTCTCAACACTTGAACAGCTTGCTCAATACCAAAATCAAAATATTCACAACAAAAAACATTAAACGGTAAAATGTTGATGCACAGAATTTTGAAAAATAATGCCGAAGTGACTTTCGTGGAATAAATTTCGAGCGCACAAATTGTCGAAAATTTCAAGTTGTCATTATGAAATAATACTAATTTTCTTTTCATTTATATTGCTTTTTAAAGCACTGTTGGATAAGATAATACATTTTTCCAATAGATCATTTCAAAACTTAGTCTAGAACTGCGGAAAGGTACACAAACAAAGAAAAACGCACATGACATTATTTTATACAGATGTGATTTACACTGGCATGATTGGTGTCGATCTACCCTTCTCGAACGGTATACATCCACTCATTCATACCCTACTGTTGTTGTCATAGTTGATTTACATTATACATATGTCTATACATATATTTTTTCTCCTAAATGAACTCTATCAAACAATGTTGCCAGCATGTATAGCAAATACTATTGATCTAATGGCGCCTGCAATATTCACTTTACTATAGGTTGTGAATGGAAAGTTCAACTGTTACATACATTTTTGGCTGATAACATCAATTTTTTAGTTTCATTGGAAATATTTTTGTATCAAAACAATCATTTATAAAAAGATCAACTTCATCGTATTTAATAAGAGGATATAAACTTTTTTCAACTTCACGTTTTATTCAAGATTAAAATATCTCATTAGCTGCAAATAATAAGAACAGTAAAATATTACAATTTATTCTTGATTTCATCGATAAGCCTGGTGATTTGGTCGTTAGTAAGACCAAAACTATAGAGTCGTTTTCGTCCTTTGTCCACAACTGCAAACCAGAGATTCTTTTGTTTAGGATATTTCAACTCAAGTACAGCGATGGCAAGTGCTGTTGTTAAAGTATCTTTGTTTTTAATAACGGTTGATTGAAATGTACTTAATGATTTACCATTGGTCAATTTTTCTATATCACTTTCATTTAATAGCCATGCTCCATTGAATGATTGTTGATCAATTAACCAACGAACAGGATCCGTAGACAATAGTGAACTAATGGTGCTGGTAGTAACCGACGCACCATTGTCTGCCATAATGTTGTACGATGACAACAAAGATGTGTCTTGCGATAGTCCAGACCTCGATATATCGAAGAACAAAAAGAGAAAGTCAAGTTACAATAAATGAAGACATATGAAAATATATTAATTCATCCTGAGCAAAGTTTAGAAACTATGTAACTAATTGGATATGTCACTTGTTAATATACTATTCTAATGATCTCTATGAAGAAGACGAAAATTGTAAGGTTACTCAAATATCTCAATCATCTTTCTGTCACAATTTGTTTCAAGCCTTACACTTCGATTTACATAGATAGAGTTTCAAAACTTATTAAAAAACATTTGTGTTGTTTGTGTTATCGATAACGGAAAAAAAAAATATATATCGTATATACATATTTCTGAAAATAGCTATAATGCACTTTTTTCTGAAAGGAATTCAACAAACACCTACGGTCTCGCTGGAAATGGTGGCGCACGATAAGCCGAAAATGCTCCTGAGCCACCCATAGGTCTCATACCACCTCCAAAGTAATAGGCAGAAAATGATGGTGGAGAAAACATTAAATTCTCGTCACCTTTTGATATTTGAATAGGAATATGACGAATTTTCGAAAGAGTATTATTGATTTTTGGACTGGTTGTTTCTATGCCAACAAAGGCTGTATAAGGCGATAAAATTTGATAGTCTATTGATAATGCAGTAATGCGCTGTTCAATCGTTGAATTATTTCTATCATAAAAAAGAAAAAATTTATCAGTAATAACAGTTGATTAAATACTTTAAACGATTTGTATCAAGTTTTTTTTTTGTATAACGAAAAATCTCCTTTATTCTTGATTACGTACTCTTTTTCTGATGTGTCAGGAGTTTCATGTTGTAATTCTTGTATTAGAGCTTTAGCTGCTAATCGACGTATCACATCTCTTTTGGATGCAATACTACCAGATAATTTGATCGAACTAATTTTATATTCCCCAACAATAAGATCTACACTAACATTTTGATCGTTCAAGTTATCGCTTTCCAATAATTGATAAACCAAGACACGATCATTTACATATAGAGGTGGAATAGTTTTTGGAGCTTGTAATCCATTTGTAGATAATCCATACCATTGAAGTCGAGCATTTATTAATGATGGTTGAAGAGCTCGACTAAATTGACTACCTACATATGTATCGACTTTTGAATTTGGAGGGACGAAAACAAAATGACCATTTGTAGCACGAGCCAAACCTTTTACTAGAGAACGAGATGGTGAATAACCAAGACCAAATGAAAATATGCGTGTGGTTGAAGACATCGAACGACATAGTTCAATTACCTAAAAAGAAAAAAGAAGACAACGTATGACTTCTAATTATAACATCATGATATACAAATGTTTCTTTGCTGTGTTTATCAATAAAACTATTCTATAACAGATGACTTCAGAATGTATAATATAGAATATTTAACGACCTGATACAAAATATCGTACCTCATCTGTATTCGAAACTTCTCCGTCGGTCAATAGAAAAATTTGTCTTGATCGACTTTTGATTGGTGGATTATTTTTCAAATGTTTCAAAGGTTCGAGTAATTCTGTTCCACCAAAATTTGCATCCATTGAACGTGTAAGAGCTTCAGCTTGTTTAGCAGTTTGTTCATTATAAACAACAGTCAAAACTTCATCTTTGAAGAGAATATCAAAATTTGAGCCAAAACGAATAATATTAAAATGAGAACCCACAGGTAAACTACGTATGAAGAGGAGCATAGCTTCTCTAGCAAGACCAATCTTATTATTTTCTGCCATTGAACCTGAACAATCCACTAAAAGAGCAAAACAAAAAAACAAATTATATCCTACTAATTATAAAAAATTCTATTATAAATTATACCAATGAAAATATATTCTGTATTCACATCTTCTTTTCCTTCCGAAATTTTGAGAAAATCAGAAAAACGTGGAGTAAATGCTAGAAGAATAGCATATTTTGAAGAATCATTATATTGTTCCATAGAAACAAATGTTGTTGATCGATTATCTGGTAGATCAATATCCAAAATAATATCTCGATCAAGAGCAATAGCTTGTGAAGAAACATCTATTGATTCAAGTGACATACTAACATTTACCGGATGTGAAAGATTAGCTACTTGCATAATTTTATCTAAAATTATGTGAATTTTTTTTTTCTAAAAACAAAAAAAATATCTCAATGAATATCTAACTACTTACGTTGTTCACCTCGAAGAACATGTGCTTGAAACCACATTGAATATGGAGTTTTTTGAACATATTCAGCTTTTGTATTATCAGGTGATTGTAGATGACCTATTGATGGATTATATCGTGGAGCAATAGTAGTAGGAATAACAAATCGAATAGAATTGCCATCAATTAAATCTAATTCAGTGACATATTGAATCGTTATTCGACATTCTTTTCCAGGTGGTAAAGCACCAACATTAATCTAAATCTAAGAAATTAATTTTATTATTTAAAATGATTAAAATATTTACTGTGAATGTATCTAAAGTTTCTTGACTTTGTCGCAACAAGATTGCTGTTTGACCTTGTTGTATAGCTGATTCATATTCGTTTTCTGCTGTTTTCTTTTCTTTCAAAACAGCTACAATTGTTCGATCATCGATTTCAGCCGTAAAAGAATAAACAGCAGCATTTTCCTTTAAATAAAATCTTTCAATATGTATTCGTAATCATTTTTATTAACATAAATAATCTTCTGTGAATAACATACCTCAATAGGAAATACATAAATTGCTTCAATAGGATTTTCTTCTCGATTAATAAATATTTGAGTCAATGTAACATCAGCAGCAAAAGAATGAATCCAAGCTTCGATAGATACATTTTGAAGAGGAACATATACTTCGCTAGTTACATTTGATGCTGGTTTATATCGAAGTCCTGCACATTGTACATTTTTGTCATCATCACGAGTAGATTGATGAATCGATTTAGTTACTAATCGAAGACCAGCAAGTTGTGATGTAGTACTAAAAATTAGAATAGTTTCATTCAGATACATTCAGTTTTTATTTAAGAATCATTTGAAAATCTTTCAAGTTCTCTACCTCTTTTGATGATCTTTATGAGCTACTAGATCTTTCTCATGTAAGATGATCAAACATCATCTTATTTTTTCTCACAACAACACAAATGTTGATCATTTTTTAGTTTTTGCCAACGACAAGAACTAACATTTTTAGCAGATGTTACTTGTTTGGTTGTGATCGCAATAGAAATACTTCTCATTATAAATAAACAGATTATATGTTGTATGCTATAGAAATCTCTATACTTATAAATGAGACAATCATCTTGACATCTATCAACATATGTCCGATGGGAGTTATCTACTACCATATTATTCCTTCCTCTATAAGCTCTTATGACTTCTATCCAACAATGGTTATAAATGATGTTCTTATCATGCATGAAGTCTTCGTTACCAAGGAAGAAACATAATTATATAAATGAAATTTTGACAATAGCAATATAACAGACTATGATTATAAATCTCAGAGAAAGAGAGAGCACTC